AGGAAGAAAGAGAAGCTAAGAGGTAAAGGGCCTATTCAAGCTCATATAGCCCGTGACTGGCTTCAGACCAAGGATCTCTAACTCTGCCCCTCCCCCTGACTGCTTCCTGGGGCCTGGGCTGCTTCCAGCTAGGGCTGGCTCCTTGTGCAGTGACCAAAGCTCTTTGAGAAGTTGACATGGCTATTGGGGGAACTTGCAAGCTATTTAACTTTGGTGGGCTAAATAGTGCTCTTCCCAAATTCACATCCACCCAGAACCTCAGAATGTGACCTTATTTGGAAATAGGGTCTTTTCAGAAAAGGACAGAGAAGGACACGCAGAGCCACAGGGAAGATGGCCACATGAAAACGGAGGCAGAGGTTGTAACAATACTGCCACGAGCCAAGGATTGCCAGGATCTGGGAGAGGCAAGGAGGGACCCTCCCCCAGAGCCTTTGGAGAGAGCACAGCCTTGCTGACACCTTGATCTGGGACTTCCAGCCTCAGAACGGAGAAAGAATAATATCCTGTTGCTTTAAGCCACTGAGTTTGCGCTGATCTGTTACGGCAGCCATGGGGAACTCAGACACTGCCCTTGACTCTCAGATGTGGATGGACAGTGGTAGTTGGACTCAGAGCACCTGTGTGCAAAAAGGGCAGCCGTGATGGGGCAAAGCACCAGCGTTTTGGAGGCAGACAAGGGCTCAGCTCCTTCCTTACTCAGCTCTGGGCTTCCTTTCCTTGTTTGTTCAACAGAGAACATCTTGATCCTGCTGGCTTATGGTGAGGATTAGAAGAGATAGCACGGCAGAGCAGCTGGTGGTAATAACAAAGGGAATCGTCACCATGCACGGAGGTTCTCATCCCTTGGTTAATTCCATCCTCACAACTGCCCTGGGTGGTGGGGTCCCTTATTGTCCTCACATTACAGATGAGGAAACTGAGTCACGAGATGTTAACTAACTCTCCTGGGCCACATAGCTAGTGAGGGGCAGAGCTGGAACACAAGCTCTGGCCACCTGACTCCAGAACACCCCCTACCCCTCCTCCCCACAACCCTCTATTACCCTGTGCCCAGAGTCCATGCTCCCCCAAGCTGGTCCTCCAGCCTGATTAGAGCCTGGCACACAGTAACACTCAATTAATATTAACTTTTTTTCTCCTGTCCTTTCCTTTCTCCCTCTTTCCTCAAGTCAGACCTCATTGCTGCAGCCCCGGGAGCCATCTAGGTCTGGTGTCAGGGGCAGTAGGACCCCAAATCTGATTCCAGGGACCTTGAGATCATGACTCAGCATGTCACATGGACAATTCCTAAAATTCCTCCTTAGACATCTGTCTCTCTTCTCAAGTCCCAGTCCTGAGACAGCTCTTCTGCTCCCCCTCCCTCTCCCTCCTCTTTCTCAGACTCACGCCCTCCTCCTCTCTGGCTCCCCTTCCACCCGCATTTCAGCACCAGCTCAGCCGGACAGAGGACAGCGGCATGATCTCCAGGACCTCCTGCGCTTGGAGGGCTGGGGGAGGGGATAGTGAATACCCTTGATTTAACATTTCCTCCCTCTGCCCATGTCCCCGCCATCCATCTAGACCACTGTGCGCTGCCTTCCTCCCCAACTCAACACCATGCACTGTCCATGCTATGAAATCTAGGAGCTCTCGGAAAATATAAGGAGAAACAGATGCTGTTCCGAGAAGCCAGGCCAGGTAGGGAGGGAGACGATCTCCAGCAGACCTACGGCTGTGATGCCACCGTTTCTTTGCCCTGACTAATTTCTTGGTCCTTCCCCTTGCCTTTATCCTCATTATCTCATACAAATTACGAATTATCTCAGAGAGTGTTAGGGAGGCCATTCATTTCAAGGTGAGAATCAGCTAAAGGTAATTGCCCTTCCTTCGAGATTCCTCAGCAAAATGGGGGATCCTGATGGGTGGAGAGGAGGCTTATGGAATGGATGTTATTAGGGGTAGATGATTGAAGGGAATGGCAATTTACCCCTGATCCTGGAGAACCCAGGATCAGGAGTTTCCCAGCAGTCGTACGGGCTTCTGCGAGTGGGCAACATTCTGAGATCCAGGCTGGCAGGGGGTGACTTCAGGGAAGTCTGCAGTCCCCAGCCCCTGAGGAGTGTGCAGGGCCAGGGCTCCAGGTCATAGGAGGGAGACAGGTAGAGAGACAGCAGCTTTCCAAACCCTTGACTTGGAGGTAAGGAAAAAGACAAACACCAGGCAGCAGAACCAAGGTGCCGGGTGTAGACGGGACAAGCAGAGTAGGTCATGTGAAATTGGCTTCACTAAAGCAAGAATATCTCCTCCCCTGTATCTTTGGCTGTACCTGTGAAAGACTGTAGGATCTGTATCCGTTAAAACCTAGCCATTCACTCTGGCAGTGTGGCCTAAAGACACCTCTTAGGTGCACGTAAAGATTGAGCTTAGAGAATGCTCATTACAGGGCTGTTTGTGGTGGAGAAAATGGAAAACAACCCAAGTGCCTGGGGGTTGGTGGAGTGATTCATGATACAGCCACAAATAGAAGACTACCCAGCCTCTCACACTGCTGCTGGGGAAGAACATCCGAGGATGTGCGAAAACGCTCACGATATGTTCAATGAAAAGAACAGGTAATAAAATGTGAGACCCTAACTTTATATTACAAAAACCAGACCTGTATAATGATGGATACATATGTATATAATAGTGTGTGGGAGTATTAACATTTTAGTAAGCATTTTTCCAGTTTTTTAAAAGAAAGATATGTGTATTCCCTATATATTGCAAGTTTGAACCCTTAACAACTCTTTTTAAGTTTTTTTAATGTTTTATTTATTTATTTATTTATTTATTTATTTATTTATTTTAACGTTTATTTATTAATG